CACACACACACACACACACACACACACACACACACACACACACACACCATGGGGTTTCTCTGTGTAGCTTTGCAGCCTGCCCTGGAGCTTCCTCTGTAGACCAGGCTGACCGTGACCTCAGAGAGATCCTCTGCCTCTGCCTCCTGAGTGCTGGGATTAAAGACGTGCGCCACCACCCGGACATACTGAACTAATGAGGAATATATACTCTCTGTGCCCTAGGTGGGGAGTTAGAGGTGGTTGATTATGAGTCATACTGTAGGTGCTGAAAACTGAACTTCGTTCCTCCTCAACCATTTCTCCAGTTTCCCCTTTTAGTTTTAAATAGTTCAGTTTTAAATAGAATTGGTATGATAGAGTTTCTCAGAGTTACCGAATGATAAAGATTTTGTATCTTTGTGAGTAAGTACAAAAACCCATTCAGCGGAATGGATGTAGTAGTAGATTGTCAAAGAATAAAACTTTTATAGACATTAACTTTAATAGACATTCATTTTTATGAAAAGAACTATAGAAAACACATTAAGGAATGCTAAATAGGTATTGATTTTTTCTAAAATACGTATAAGCTAGCTTACAGTTTGTTCATAGGTTAGACCAGAGATACTCTAGGAAATAAATCTTTGCAACAGTGACTACATACAGCAGTAGAGTCAATGTGGTTTTATTTCTGACAGCTCAGGCTTAACTTACAGAAAGCTTTTTGTTGATGTGTTGGGGTTTAGAAAGCTCTTTGCATCCTACTAGTATTTAAGGCACTCACTGATTGCCTTTGTTGAAGTGAGACTGGGAAGGCTGTGAAGCTGTGTGGTATACATTTAATGTATGTTTACAGGAAGTCCTTAGAATCTAAACCATGTTTGCACTATTGATTTTCCTTGGATCTTTCAATCTAACAAAAACATAAGACATGTTAACTTTTGTGTAGAACTTTCCGCCTTCATCTGGAAATATGACTTCTCCAAACACAGGGCTCGGAATATTCTCCAGCAGCTGAAAAGCCTCCTGGGGCTAGTATGTTAGTTAGCTCAGGATATGTAAATGAGAGCTTGGTAAATCTCACTGATTCAAAGAATGACGCTGCCTGTTGCAAATGTAGACTGATGCCCTAAATTTTAGGAATTTACTCTTTTATGAGGACCGGCTCTTTTTTAAAAAAAACTGCCTGGTTTGCTTTCTGTTGCTATGATTAAACATCAGTCAAGGCAATTTGAGAAAAGGATTTAGAGATTCCAATCCATCATTGAGGGAAGCCAGGGCAGGATCTATTAAGTGAGAGCTGTTTACTCTTGCTTATTGGGCTTTCTGATACAACCCAGGACCACTTGCCCGAGGGCTGGACCCTCCTACATTAGTCAATCAAGAAAATGCCCCCACTTCCGTACCCACTGACCACTCTAATAAAGGCAATTCAAGTGAGGTACCACATTCCCTGGTGACTCTTAAAGTGACAGAAGGAAAATGTTATGTACTCATTTGTCTAAACTGAGTGTTTTCTGCTCCATAAGGTGTATCCTATACAGAATATAAAGTCAGTTTCAGAAAATGTACTTTAAATTTGGATTTCTGTTCTCTGTGATACCTTGAGAGAGAAAGAGTTCTGCTCTCGGAATAAGTGCGTCTATACTTAGTGATTTTGAGTACTAAAGTCAGGGTCTTCCAGGAACACACATTTCTGGAAAGATAACTTGGTAAATACGAAATCCGCATACAGTGATACGTAGGGGAGATAAGTAGGGATAGAAGATCTTCATGGACGTTTTATACTATAAGGAAGATTTTGTTGTTCAATGAAAACATAATTTGGTAGATGAGCTCGAATTAATAGTGGTCCCAAACTCACATTAACTAATGTAAATTCAGCAGTCGACAGCAGGTGGCGAGTGTGGGCATCGGAACTCTTCTGTTGGGGATTTGTTGTGTGGAGGGACCGGAAAAGGAGTGGGATTCTTGTCGCGATGTGGAGCGGTCGAAGGCTGAGTTCTTTTGGGGTTCGTTTTTTAGAAACATTTGGCTCTGGGTGTCCCAGCGCAGTAGCCGAACCTCCTCTTGTGACTTCACTGTCGGGTGAGTGTCGCTGCGGTTTTTCCGCAGCCTTCCATTGCCGCTGGCGGTCTGCGCAGGCGCGGCAGAGAGCGGCGGATAGTCGCGGGCACCGTGCTGCTTCAGCTTACAAACAGTACCTTGCGGCCGCCTTCTCACCCTGGTTGCCCTTCAGGACTAGGTGTTGCCCTCCCCAGTTGTTCCTCCAGTTCACTTAAGTCGAGAAAAAGCTGAGAACTAAGAATCTGGGCGGCGGGGAGCGTTTCCCGTAGGCCGCCGCCATGGAGCCTCAACCTTTGACCTGTTATATTAGAACTCTGAGCTTCTGCCCCCGGGAAACCCCAGTTGTCTTGCTGGAGCCTGAGGTGGTGCTTGCTCTTCTTACTGGATCAAGAAAGACACACCTGCTGATCACACAGCATTGTGTCACTTTTTTGTTGCTCATTATCTTACCATCACCGCCGAAGAATTTAAGGCGTTTGTGCTGTTTTATTTTCCTCTAACAGCACTGACTGTCCTGTAATTGGCTCCGGAGACCAGGCTGGCCTGAGCTCACAAGAGATCCTACCTCCGCCTCCCTGGTGCTGGGATTAAAAGTGTGTGTCAACACCGCCCAGCAGCCTCATTTATGCTCTTTGTTAATAACAATTCACCTGTTGGAAATGGGATTAAAAAAAAAACTAGTTGCGTTTGGTGCAATAAATTTTGAACTCCCAAGTAGTAAATAGAAAATTAGGTTCATCCTTTATATGAACATGACTACTATATGGTAGAGTGATATGGATGGGAATTTTAATATGACAACAAAGGCAACAAAACCTACTTAAATGTACTTGTACTAACCTGAAAAAAAAATTAGGATAATTTTAAGAGAGCAAGATATTAAATCAGTATTAGTCATAAACTTGGAAATGTAGCAGGGAATACATATTCAACTTTAGCAAATTTAGGAATAGGTGATTTTGTATCATTTTATTGTCTTTTTTATGCTTTTATTTTCTTAGCCTTTATTTTTAAAAATTTTTATTTTATGCATATGGGAACTTTGCTAATATGTGTATCTGTGCATCATGTGGGTATCTGGAGCCCTCCGAGGCCAGAAGAAGGTATTGAATCCCCTGAGTCTGGTGTTCCTGATGGATATGAGCTGTCCTATTGCTGATGGGTAAGGAAGCCAAGTCCCCCAGAAGAACAATCTGAGCCATCTCTCCAATATGCCTTTTATAATCAGAAATTTAAAAAAGAACCAAAAAAACCTACAAATTTTGTAGGAAGAGCATCAGATCTGTATTTGGGATTAGGGAAGTCTTGAATGAGGTAGAGAGCAAATGTGGTTAGAGGGCAGTGTAATATTAAGGTGGGGGCATCGCCCCAGCCCTTAACATCCAAGAAGTCTGGGATGATTGGAAGCCCCTGGCCTGGACCCTGTGTGTGGAAGTGTCCATGAAGGCCAGAAGAGAATAGCAGAGTCTCCACAACAGGTGTTACAGGTGGTTGGGAGCTAGGGATACTAGAAGCTGACTCTGGCATCCACACGGTTGTTCATAACTGTAACTCCAGTCCTAGAAAGGTCAGTGTCCTCTTTTGACCTCCATGGGCACTGCAGACATCAGGTGCACACAATATACATGTAAGCAAACACATAAAATTAAAACAAATTTTAACCAGTCTGAGGTCAGCCTGGACCCCACAGCAACACCCCACAAGTCAGCTGGGATACAGCTCAGAGATCCCTGCTCAGAACCACGGCAGCACAGATAGCAAAACAACAATAAAACAATGTGAAGAACATAAGTATGACAATAAGACAAAATTGGTATATATAAAAATGATCATCATATTAGATAAGATACTTTACCTCACCCATGATGAATTAAAACTACATTAGTAAACCATTTTCACCAATTAACATGGGTGGTCAGTGAGTAACCAGGCATTAGACACTCACGCACATATATTGTCTGTAGGGTTATAAATGAATAGATTGATTCAATATCTGTGAATGGCAATTGCAAACTTGTAAATGAGCACACATTTGGACTCTTTTTGGTATTTTACGTAAAGGAATATATAGAAAATCATCTATTTAATTCAATTCCATGGTTTGGTATTAGAAAAAAGAAATACTCTAAATGCCCATTAATATGGAGCTGCTTGAATAAATCATAATATACCCATGCAGTGGATTACTGTCCAGCTCTTGATGTAAGCAAAAAGAACCCCTCTTACAATAGTATGAAGCAGTCTCAAAAAAAAAAAAAACATGGTAGATAAAAAAGCAAGGTACAAGGGAGTGTGCATGTTTGTAAAATGACAGGAATTGATACATTAAAATAATTGCACATGTATAAAAGGTTTCTGGAAGCTTGCATGCAAATCTAGTGACACTAGCTGCTACAAGGAGAGAAATTGGATGGTGACAGCAGAGTTGGGGAGCTATCCCGTTACTGGACTTTGTGACTGAAAAAGAAAACTATTGTAAGTCATTTAAAACCCACAAATTGCAAAAAGAAGACAAAGAAAAGAAAGAAAACTATAGATATCTGTTGATGATATCCAGACGGCTTCCATTTCCTGTCTTATCATGAACAGTTCACTTCTAAATATGGATGTGAAAGTATTTTTTTCTTTCTGTGTTCTGAAGCAGGGTTTATATAACAGTCCTGGCTGTCCTAGAACTTGCTGGGCTCAGAGTCACAGAGATCCACCTGCCTCTGCCTTCCTAGTGCTGGGATTAAAGGCGTGTGCCACCACCATACAGCTTTTAGCATGTTTTTTTTTCCCCTTTTGGTTAGTTTGGTTAAAGATTCGTTGATCTCATTTATTTTACAAAGAACCAGCTTTTTTCAGTGCTCAGGATTAAACCTGGGCCTTGTGTTTTCCAGGCAAGAAATCTACCACTGAACTACACCCTCAGCCCCATGAAGAGCCAGCTCTGGGATTGATTCTATATTTTGTTCCTTTAGTCTTCTTTTTGCCTTCAACTTATTATTTATTTCTCCCTACTGCTTTGTATCTTAATTGTTCTTGTTTTTCTAGGATTTGAGGAGATATAATCACTAGGTTATTTGAAATCTTTCTGATTTTCTCTCTCTCTCTCTCTCTCTCTCTCTCTCTCTCTCTCTCTCACATTGGCACCTATAGCTATAAACTTCCCTCTTAGAACTGCCTTAGATGTGTCTCAGAGGTCTGGGAAGTTGTGCTTTCCTTTTCATTTGAGTCTAGGAACTTTTAAATTTCCCCTTGGTCATTCATGTTCCTATTAATTGGTGTGGTTTCTGTCATTTTCTTGTATTTATTTTCAGTTTTGTTATTCTGTGATCTGAGAATATATAAGACATTGAATCTATTCTTTTGTATTTGGAAAGGCTTGGTTTATGCCGTAAGATGTGTTTTATTTCAGAGAAGGTTCCATGAATTTCTATTTGGTTTCAGTTGGATGGAATGTTTCGTAGATATGTTAATTACATTTAATGAATGTACAGTTTAACTCAGATTTCTATGTTCTGCGTGTGTGTGTGTGTGTGTGTGTGTGCATATGTGCATCCATGCATGAGTTGGGGATGCAGAGCAAGCACCATATTGATGTCAGCTGTCTTCATCACTCTCCACATTGTATGCTAAGACAGGGTCCCGTCTCCCCACCCCCACCCCCACCACCACTCCTTGAACTTGAGCTTGCTGGTTGGGATAGTCTAGTTAAGCCAACTTATTCCATGGATCCTCTGTCTCCACCTTACTGGTGGTCCCCATATCCACGCAGCGTTAATGTGAGTGTTGAGGAACTGAACTCTGGTCCTCATTCTTGTGGGGCAAACCCTTTACTCACTGAGCCATCTCTCAGCTCTGTTGATTTTCAGTTGGATGACTTATCTAGACATGAAAGCAGGGTATTGAAATTACTTAGAACTTTTCTATCAGGACCTCTCTGACCTTTTATCTGCACATTAGTATTTATTTTATAGAATTAGGAGCTCCAATGTTTGGTGCATATATTTTGTTGATGAATTGTTCCCTTTATTAATGTGTGCTGACCTTTTTTTTTTTTTCCTCTTCTGGCTGATTTTTTTTTATCTACTTTATCAGACAACAGAGTAACTACTGCTGCTAGTGATAGATTTTTGTTTGCTTGATAGACAGATTTTCCTCCTTTGACTCTCAGTCTGAGTATCTTTACTAAAGAGTCGTGTTTCTTGTATAAACAGCCAGTTGCATCTAGTTTTCTAACCCAGTCAGCCAAATTGTGCCTCTTTATTGGTGAGTTGAAGTCATTTACACTGAAGGTTATTGTTGAGAGATGTTTACTAACTCCTGTAATTTTCTGGTTGCTTGCATATTTTTTCTTGTTTTTCTTTTTTATTATTTTTATTGCACTATACATTTTTCTCTGCTCCCCTCTCTTCCTCCCCTTTCCCCTTCCACCCTCTCCTGTGACCCCCCACTCTCCCAATTTACTCAGATCTTGTCTTTTTCTACTTCCCATGTAGATTAGATCCCTGTATGTCTCTCTTAGCGTCCGCTTTGTTGTCTAGGTTCTCTGGGGTTGTGGATTGTAGGCTGGTTCTTCTTTGCTTTATGTCTGAAAATCACTTATGAGTGAGTGTATATTGTATTTGTATTTCTGGGTCTGGGTTACCTCACTCAATATTTTTTTTTCTGGATCCATCTATTTGCCTGCAAATTTCAAGATGTCTTTTTTTTTTAATCACTTAGTAGTACTCCATTGTGTAAATGTACCACATTTTCTTTTATCCATTCTTCAGTTGGGGGGCAAGTTCTAACTTTAACAAATGATGCTGCAATGAATGTAGTTGAGCACATGTCCTTATGGTATGATTGAGCATCCTTTGGGTTTAAACCCAAAAGTGATATTGCTGGGCCTTGAGATAGGTTGTTTCCTAATTTTCTGAGAAATCGCCATACTGTACCAGTTTGCACTGCCACCAACAATGGAGGAGTGTTCCCTTTACGCCACATCCTTTCCAGCCTAAGCTGTCATCGTTGTTTTTGATCTTGGCCATTCTTACAGGTGTAAGATGGAATCTCAGCGTTGTTTTAATCAAAACATTTCTCTGAAGACTAAGGATATTGAGCTTTTCCTTAAGAGTCTTTCAAGAATTTGATGAGACTCATCTGTTGATAGTTTTCTGTTTAGGTCTATACCCCATTTTTTAATTGGATTTTTTTGTTCTTTTGATGTCAAGTTTCTTGAGCTCTTTGTATGTTTTGGAGATCAGTCCTCTAACTTGGAATTATTTTTGTTCTTTGCCTTTTCCCTTATTAGTATTAGGAACTCAATGGTTTGGTGCGTTCCACTTCATAGATTCTTTGCTCTCCTTTGTTTGGCTGCTTCTTTCATGAAGTTTATTCTTTCTATGATCTTTTTGTTTTGTTTTGGATATCCTGGAACACACTGTGTAGACCAGGTTGGTTTCAAACTCACAGAGATTCTCCTGCCTCTGCCTCCTGTGTCTTGTGATTGGGGTGTTTTTGCTTTGTGCATAGTTACCACCTACATGTCTTGGGCAGTCTGGCTTGGTGATCATGATGAATTGCTTTAATTTGTGCTTGTCTTGAAATGTCCTGATATTTCACTGATGGCTTTATTTTCTGTGTATGGATGTTTACTAGCATTTATGTCCATGGACCACGTGCATGACTGCTGCCCTCTATTAGAGGCCAGAAGAGAGTCTCAGATGCCCTGGGACTGTACTTAAGGGTGGTTGTGAATTGTCACGTGAGTCCTGGGAGTCCAGTCCAGTGCCTCTAGCAGAATAGGCAGTGTTCTTAACTGGTGTTCCAGTTCTCCAGCTCTCATTGCCAATTTTAAAATTGAGCTTTTGGGGATTTAACAACCTTGATTGATTGAGAGTTAATTACTTCAAGAGCTTAAAATGTATTTTATTTCATGCTTTTCTGTTTTTGAGGGTTGTTGATTCTGGTGTTAGCCTGATGTTTTGACTTTGTAGGTGATTTGGGGCGTGTTTTTCTGTTTACAGTTTGTTTCTTTACTTTAAAATTAGATTTATTTTTTATTTCTAATTAGGTGTCTATGTGTGGGGGTATATGCACATGAGTGTGGGTACCTGTGGAGGCCAAAGATTTTGGATCCCCTGGAGCTAGAGTTAACAGGCGGTTATGAGCAGCTTGACATGGATGCTTGGG